TAACTGCAGAACGTTGTTACCTTTCTACCGAAGTCCTTTCGAACTGCTAGTTGGCAGAAGCTGGGCCAAGAACAAGATCTCACCAAGTCCCCTGATACTTAGGTCTCAAACCCAGGACATCCAGTTGACAGCATCTTAACCACTGAGCCATCATGCTGCTCAATAAATAGTATCACTTCTGAGGACTTGCGGTTTGAAGGGCTTCAGCGACAGACAGGAATCTGCGATCGTGCGCGGTTCCTGCCTGGGCTCGCCACTGGAGCGCCCCGAGCCGGCTGGTTTCGGGGCTAAGCCACCCCGTAGAGGTGGTGAAGAAGGGGGAGACTGCCAGCAGGGTCGAGGAGAGCCACATCTCTCCTCCTCAGCTGGTCAAACTCCCTTTCCCGAAGGCGGTAAGAGCAGTGGTCAGAAATGGCCACCTCAAAGAAGTACTCAAACGGAAAAGAACGTGCAGGAGGAAGATAAGAAGTGAAAGTTTTGGCTGACCGGGCTAAGTTGAAAAAGCAATAACTAAGGTACCCTGGAATTTAAATTTTACAAGAAATAGCATCGCTCCCAAAGAAGAGTCGGAAGCAGCGAAAGAAAGTGAAAAGGGAAAGGTTGGGCTTTTTTTTCCTTCTCTCTCCTTCCTTATATTGACAATTAAGAATAAGAAATTGGAAAAATCCGCTTTGGCATCAACAGGCAATTAAGCTGAAAATATAACTAAATGCCAAAGGGACAATAAAGATTTCTGGACATTAAAAACTTTTTCTTCTATAAGCAGGAAGGGAGAGAAAAAGAATAAGGGCAGGATCTGGAAGAGGGAGGAGACTGCCTGGACTTTAAAAGAATCTAAAGTAAAATTTCAATAAGACTTCTAAAAGATACATTTTAACTGAAACTTTGCAACTAAATAGTAACCCCAGGAAGAGAAAGTGGAAAAAAAAGAAAGAGCAAAAAAAAAAAAAAAATTGTGTGTATTTGGATTACTTGGTGACTTTTGGATTTTTGGCTATTATATTTGAATGACTAAAATTAATCGGGTGGTTGTTTAAAATGTTTTACAATGGCATCACTTTTCGATGAATTGAAAATGGAACTTAAAAAGTACAAAGAAGAGGCACAAGAAGGAAAGGGTTCCTTTGGCTTCGTTTTTCAATTCTTAGAAATGGAGATTTGGAACTATGAGAAACAACAAGAAAAGACTGCAAAACAAGAAGACTGGGACAAAGAAGAAGCCATCTTTAATGAACAAGTAACTCTATGTGGGGAAGAAAAAGGAAAGGGGGGAAAGAGGATGGAGAATTTAAGATTTAAAAAAACAACCAAAGAAAGGAAAAATAATTCGAAAAATAAGTATAATACTGGAAAACAACAGAAAAGGGGAATACAGAGGAGGGAAGTAGAGGTAGATAAACAAAAGGGTAAAAGGGGGAGGGAGAAGAAGAGAGGGAAGAAGGAAAGGAAAAGAAGTCACAAAGGTCCAGAGCAAGATATAAAGAAACAGGACCTATTTAGAGATAATGGGTAAAAATTTAACTGAAAGGGGGATTCTGTAAAGGTACATGAGATTGTGTTGTTATATTTGAAATAGAAATAATTTTAGAAAATTGGAAACAACATATGATTAGAATGAGGGATAGAATGGTTAGTGTAACTTAGTGAAATGTTTGTGAATAAAGTAAATGAAATAAAATAAATGAGAAAATCGAATTAGGAAGGAATGGGAACACTTTAATTAGTCAATGTTTTATAAAATATAAGTGAAGAGGGGGGGAATTGATTATGGAAAGCTAATAATTGTTCCCATAGAGGTATGATATTTAATTGAAAAGTAACGTGAAAAATTTTAAGATTTTAATGAATTTTAATATTAATGATAGAATTGAATTGGAATGTTGTTTTAATTATATACATTTATAATTTTTTCTTTTTTATAAGAATATTGTGTGTAGTTTAAGAATGTACCAAACAGAATCCAAATGGAAGTTATGTATTATATTGAGTGTTATAACTTTAGGGGAAAGATATAAAGGCGTCATACTCCAATCAGTAACTACAGGAGAAATTTTGTTTAATGAGAAAAGATAATAGACAATTGAAACAGGACAGACAAAAAATATAAATATAATGATGTGAATTGAGATGAAATAAATGTAATAAAATTGAGGAAATTAAAAGAGGGGAGAAGCTATGTAGAAAATGTAAAACTGTAATAAGATATGGAATAGAATATAAAAATGAGCATGAACCTGAAATTGTGTCTGCACGAAGAAATGTAACCCGGGATTATGCTGCTTTCAAAAAAGATGTTTTAATTGTGTTTCTTTTCTTTTTGTGAAAACTCAAATAAAATTTACAAAAATAAATAAATAAATAGTATCACTTCTGTGGGAAAGTAACAGTGTTTCAGGACATCATGCTGGCCTCAGGATTACAGAAATGCGTTCAAACAGTGCTGACTCGGCTTTGAAGCAGAGATGAACACTTCCTTCTAAAGTCAGATATGGCTAGTGGAGTAAAATCCAGAGACTCATTTACCTTTTTACTATTTGGTGGTGGCTGACACATTATCCTGGACTGGGCACAGTTTTATAGCAATTCTTCTCCTTTCTCGGGAGACGTTTGTGAAAGAGAGAAGGCTAACTCAGAGGCCTTCTTTAATAATGGCCTTCTCTAATTAAGAGAAGGCTAACTATATGCTAAGAGCTATTTACTGGCTGCCTGTAAGTTTCCAGATGTTCCAGATGAAAGTCCTTTTTTTAATGTGTATATCTATATGGTTTAGTGCCAAGTTATTTCCAGGGAAAAATTCACCAATCAGAACTGATTCAACCTCTTCTTCTGTGTCTAGATCAAACTTTAGACTGCCAAAATGAAGCCAATTTCTTGGCTTTGTCATTGTCCAACATGTACCAACAATGAGTTAGTTTTGGATAATTGATCCAACTAATTGATATATTTCCAGAAAAATTGCTGCTGATCCCTTACTTCCATGAGATTTGGAGGTAGAGGCAGAAGGTGGTACACTTAGAAATTAGATTAGTCATGGGGCTATATTACTAGTTGAATGAATTAGTTACTCCAGTTATTTTAATTATTTTTGCAAGTTATTATTGTGTATTTATTTTATTTCTATGTCTCTGAGTCAGTTCTAACTTCTAGAAACTGCCTGAAGTTCCTACAGTTTTTCTGGCAAGATTGTTTTTAGAAATGGTTTGCTATTGCCTGTTTCCTAAGGCTGAGAGACAGTGACCGGTCCAAGGTCACCCAGCTGGCTTTGGCCCGAAGGTACCCAATCCAAATGTTTGGTTTTTATACCATTGCCACACCCTATAAGTAATGAAATAAATCAATAAGCCAATTAGCTATGTTTAGGATAAATGCATTATTATTTCATTTTTAAAAATTTATATACATGCATGTACGTCCAACTTCCTAAACCCACTTTAGGGGAGATAAATGCAATTTGGAAGAGGGAATAACATGTATGCTAAGCTTCAGCTATGTGTATCATTATTGCTTGGGGCCGAGTGATAGGATATTCCAAAAAGCCAATGCTATAAAGATACGATTTATTCAATAATTTCTCAAGTCAATTCAGAATATAACTAAAGGCTACTATGCTATCTTTGCTCATTCTGGTGCATGCCATTTGTCTAGGCAGGTGAAGAGATGCAGAGATCCAGAATGATCAATAGAATAGACCTGAATGGCCAACAAAGCAGAATTCGATCAGTGCACATGACCTCATCCAAATGTTAATATTTGGTTAGCTGAAAATGTAGCTAATTCAGGACAATTTCAGTCAGAACTTATCATAAATGATAACTCAACATAAAAACAATAGTTTGATGATTTTGTTGCAGGGGGATATAGAAAGTCAGGTACAAAGAATTCACAAATCTATACCTACCTTCCCTGGCTTGGTGCCCTCAATTATGTTGAAGTACACCTTCAGAATTCCAAGTTATTTTGACTAATAGGCACACTATATTCAGTGAACTTATAATCAATATATCTGGACGGTAATGAATGGATGAGGCTACTACTGGATATTAACAGAATATAATTCTAATTTTTTAAAAAAGAAACTTATTTATGCTTGAGAAGAACAGAAAAAAGGAGCAGATATATTTGATTCCTGGGATATCAACAAGCAATTAGATATATTCATCACCTAAAATAGCTTTGGAGAGAAATATAGAAGCCAATAAACTTTCCTGAAAAGAAGAGGAGGAAAAAATTTCTTGGCTGATGCACAAGAAATAGGAAAAAAGCAGTTAAAGTTGGGTTTGCTTTGGGAACTCCAGTGTTAATCTGTGAAATTGGCAACCATGGACACAAGGTATTCATCCAAGTGCTAATGAAATCTGAGAGGATCAAAGAGAATAAAACAAAACAAAAAAGACTGTAAGTAAGTCAAAATCAAGGAATAAAATCACCACATGTAATCCATGAATGAATGATAAAAAGTTCCTTATTTGAAGGGGAATCATGTAGTTGGTTAGTGAGCATGTCATGTAGTTGCAAATGTAGCTAATTCAGGACAATTTCAGCCAGAACTAAACGTAAATGATAACTTAACATAACATGCGGAAAAGACTGTGGGTCAGTTCTGAGCTAGATAAGCTGATGATATAATTCTTATTTCCTTCATACATAAAGGGAGGGGGGGAGAGATCAACTCTGTAATCAATTAATTATTTCTAGTATAAAATATAGTTTTATTTATGTAGACAAAAGGTGGGCAACAGTAGCAGTGTCTCTGATATCACATTAGTGACACATCTTGAGTTGGTGTTTTTTCCCCATAGAATTTACATATAACCTACCTTTCTTCTATGATGCACCTCACAAGCAGCTTCCAATTCTCCAAGCACTGAACATACAAGACCTGCTTTGGGTAAGCAAGATGGTATACCGTGCGCCCCCAGGAATATCTTCTGATATAGTGTATGAGAAATACACAGCTCCCAAATAACTGCATGTATTTTACAAATTCAAAAGCACATTACCTTCACGTTGGTGTGTACAGCTGATTCTGGGGGATAGACAATGAAATGTCGGAGAGTAAAGCCATAACCGCCCTGAAGGTTCTTGTGCAGCACCACTGTCTTTGGCCCCACCCAGGGAAAAGACTCCACAGGGGGCGCATTGGCATTTGTGGCTGTACCATCTCTCTGGACCAGTTTTGGCTGTTATTAAAAACAAAAAGAGAAGAATGAGCACAATCAAAGTTCCAAGAGATATCAGGAGAAAGATAAAATCACCCCCTCACCCATGTAAATACTTGCACAAAGTTTTTTGGTGACTAAAACAGACTACACTTGGCTAGAAGATGGGATGGGAGAGAAACAGCAGTAAAGTCAAATAATTTCCAGCTTCATTCTTACACTCCAGAACCACTGTGGATATATTTTGTCAATTAGGTGTTGAAACATGGCCAGACATGTGTAAGAATGACTTCCTTGTCCTCTGTTTTAATCTCTTCTCCCTCAGTTTCTAACTGCATTGCCACAGACTAGCCTTTTGATACTGAACAACAACTAGTCAGTTTTATTTTACATCGCCAAGAGGAAAAATCAGTATGAATTAAGGATAAGGGAGGGGGGAGTTGCTGCTTGGATTCTGATTTTTTTTATTCTTGTATTTGTCCCCTGCACTGTTAAATCTGGCAATCTAAGTATTCCCAGGATAACCGTCATGGGGTCAGTAGTTCAGTAGTGAGGTAAAAATGATTGTTAGAGTTACAAAATGAAGGTGTGGACAAGTACCCTAATACACCTAATAAATTTTTCCCAGTGTCAATTCCCACTCCAGTCCTAAGTATAACAAGACCCCTTCACAATTTGTTCAAGTCAGATATAACCTATCCTTGTAACTTTTTTTTTTTTTTTTGGTCCCTAAAACAATAAGCAGTAGCAAGATAGAATCATGGCCTAATCTACCCTTTATCAAATTGAGGAAGATTCAATTTTTATATGACTTTTATTGGTTTCTAAGATTTAAGATAACAAAGGACAGAAGTCCCTCCCAAAAAACAACTGGACTTTTAGAAAAAATAAGGACCTAGAGACAAAGGCTGTTGAACACTTGTTGAACACAAGTTGAACTTGTTGAACACAAGTTGAACTTGAACAGAAATTGAACTTGTTAAACAGAAGTTGATACTAGTTCATGCTTGGAGAAAAAATATGCATGACAATATCCTCAAATCCCAAACAATAAATTCCAAAGAAGTTGGATTTCAACTATCCCGCCCCCACCACAAAAAACCCAACTAGTGAACTTCTAATTTTTGAGAGACCATGTAATAAAGAGGGGTTGTTTTATATATATTTATACATTGGTTTCTTTCCTAAATTCAACAGAGAAGCATTTGCATCTGTAATTTCACTTTTATCTTGCACTGAGTTCTCAGTTCAAACTTCTAAAAGACGGAAGGAAACAGTATGGAAACAATACAATAGTGCTTGAAAATTGCTTGGCAGCCTTTAAAAGCTTCTTTCTCTATTTTCCAAAGACAAGATCCAGAGTGATGAATTAAAGAGTGAAATGGAAGGAATGAGCTGAAAGATATGACACCTTGGGGCTAAAGAAAAGAACTGGTCTCAGCATGGAGGCAGGGAAGTGATCCAAGTGGAAATTCTTTTTCCACATCACTGCAACCTGAGTCCTAAAACAAAGAAAGGAAAGGAAAGGAAAAATCTGCCAGTTTTAAATGCAGGCAGATTTTAACACAAACAAGGAAAAAATTGCTATGCCGTTTGCAAACTATAGCTCTCTGAATAAAGCACACTTTTATTGGCAAAGTCCCTACCACTACTACTCAGTGTAAGATTTTAAGAGAGCAAGGGAGCTCCCCCCAAAACCACATTCCATCAGTAAACCAGAGGAATGCATCACTCAAGTCTGACATGTAATCTAAAGGCTCTCTGTCTCCTTTCTTCTCCCTAAAGCTGTGGGGTGCCTGTCGCTTGCAATATGACACTGTATACTTTAGGATGGAATTATGCTCTGGGAATTATACACCTCTTTGTCTCATCAGTTCAAACCACATGGCTAGCTATCAACTTTGAGTTTTGGAACTACAAGACAGCAAAGGAGTCCTCAAAATATTAAATATTCTTCATTAACAGACAATGCAGGTAAACATAATCAAAATGTATACAGGAGAATTGCATTTGTGATCAATATTTATTTAGTCAGATGTTTTACATACTGTTTTGAAACAAAATGTTCTCAGAACAGCTCATGTAAGATAAAGCTGCTTGTAAATGTGTTTCAAGAAAAGCTTCAGCCAGGGTGGATTGCAATGTTCAAAGGTTCCACATTAGGTCAATGATGTAGAATAGGTTGCCTTGAACATGAAGTCAATGTTACAGATTTCTGTATCTTGCTCCGCATCTTTGTTAAAGGTAGTCATCAACTTAAGACCAGATACTTAGCAATTGGTCAAAGTTCCACGGACCTCTTCAGGAGTACTTATAATCTGGTTCCAATTATGCCCTCTCCCCACAGTCAATGTTACTGCATGTCAGGTACCTTCAACCAGCCTGCATTTATGGCCATTTTCTGCATCTTGGGGTCAGATGACCGTGTTTTATGATGTTTTTCCCCCAAAGCAGCATTTCCTTCTAGTTTTGGACAAAACTGGCCCACATATCAGGTAGGGCTTTAAGTGAGCGATCTATGGATGTGAAAATGAAGAAGTTGCACCTGCCTACCTTCATCACTCTGGCACCCCATGACACAGACCTTCATATTTGCTCTAGATCCATGATGGCGAACCTATGGCACATGTGCCAGAAGTGGCACGCAGAGCCATCTCTGCCAGCACGCGAGCTGTCGCCCCAGCTCAGTTCCACTGCGCATGCGTGCGTGCCTCCTGCCAGCCGACTGTCAGATATCTGCCGTGCATGCATGGGAGTGGGGGGGGCGGAACCATGCATGCATGCGCAGGCAGTGGGGGAACGAGGGGAGGTCACACACACATGTGCAGGGGGTGGGGGATACGGGGGTTGGCACACATGCACAGGGGTGGGGGAGCGTGGGTGTGCATTGCATTTTGGGTGCAAGCACATGTGCATGTGCGCGCGCACACTTTTGGCACGCGACAACAAAAAGTTAGCCATCACTGCTCTAGATCAGGGGTTCCTAACCTGGGGTGCTCGCACCCCCTGGGGGTTCAAGATGATATTCCAAGGGGTGCGAGAAAAGTCCAGGTAAATAATAGGATATTTGCTATATGTTGGCATTTTTATTTATTATGCAATGGATTAACTTTGTTTTCATTTTAGAGTTAAGTATCGTTATTTAATGGCCGTCACATACATACCGTATATGCCGGCGTATAAGACGACCCGGCGTATAAGACGACCCCCCAACATTTCCACTCAAAATATAGTTTGTTATATACTCGCCCCCTCTTCCGCACGCCTTCCACTTTTGCACTTTTTTTTTTTTTTGAGGCACTTTTGTCTACCGTGGAAACGAATCCCGTGAAGCTGAAAGGAGCAGCCAGCCTTCTCCCAGCTCCCAAGGAAACGAGGCTCGCACCGCCCGGGCTCCGCTGAGGTATCCGGCTGGGGCTGTCAGGAGTTGTTACCGCTAGCGCGGCTCCGCGCGGCTCCAGTCCCACGTTGCCTCGGGAAGGGAAAGGCAAAAAGGAAGAGCCGCGGCTTTTGCCTTTCCCTTCCCGAGGCAACGCGGGACTGGAGCCGCGCGGAGCCGCGCCAGCGGTAACAACTCCTGACAGCCCCAGCCGGATACCTCAGCGGAGCTCGGGCGGTGCGAGCCTCGTTTCCTTGGGAGCTGGGAGAAGGCTGGCTGCTCTTTTCGGCTTCACGGGATTCGTTTCCACGGTGCGCAAAAGTGCCTCAGCCGCGGGCAGCCGCAGTGCTTCCCAATTACTATTTGCCGGCGTATAAGACGACCCGGCATATAAGACGACCCCCCCAATTGGAGGCATCTTTTTCAGGGCAAAAAAGTCGTCTTATACGCCGGCAAATACGGTAGCTGAAAAGATTCAATCCTACCATATATTTAACACATTCAGTAGTTCCTAAAGTTTAAATTTCAGGGGGTGCGAGGTTCGAGTGAAATTTCTTTAGGGGTGCGGGGCAAAAAAAAGGTTGGGAACCACTGCTCTAGATCAACAAGATTTTCATATGAGCCAATCAACCCAGCTCTGTTCTGTTGGAAAATGAAAATATTATAGGAAATATTAAAAAGGCAGAAACTCAGCTCCCTCTCCCCTTTGTCTATGGGCCATTAAGGCCTGAGCCAGTCTATTCTACATAATAAAGGTAGGATTAGCCCTCTACCCATCTCACCACATGGCATCTGGAGGATTACATCAGCCAGCACTCAAACAAGCCTGGGACACAGACAAAGCCTACAAAATTAACTAAGACCTCCTTCCCCTGGGAATCTGACAGCCAATGGGATACATTGCTTATCCAGGAACAGGAAACACCAAGGTGAGGCTGAACAGAGGGTATAACATTCAAGCACTCTCATCCCTTTTTTCCTTCATCCAACATCTTGAAGCATGTGATTGCCCTTTTCACTCAGAAGCTCAAAGGCATGTGATCCTCTCCACCATTAAACCATCTTTCCAAACAGCCTCCATGTTTCCAGTGTCTTTTTCCCCACTTGGAACTGAATCCAGAAGGATATTTCTTCCAACAGTTAGATGTTCAAGACAATCATTCCTCAGCATTTGGTGAACAAACTGGACCTATTGGATCTTTTAATACTCCTTTATGTAACTGAATACTTGATTTCCTTATTGATAGGCCCCAGTTTGTGCAAGTTGAAAGAAAAGTCAATGCCATCTCCTTGAGTACAGGTTCCCCACAGGGCTGTGTCTTGAATTCACTATTGTTCACCTTGATGACCCATGACTGCTGTGCCAAGTTTGCGTCAAATCATATTGTGAAGTATGTGAATGACACAGCAGTGGTGGGTCTTGTCCAGGAAGACAATAAAGATGCATATAGGGAAAAGGTGAAGACTCTGGTGAACTGGTGCAATAAAAGGAACCTGGTTCTAAATGTTAATAAAGCAATTTGTCATGTTTATGTAGTGTATATTGGAGATGGTGACCCTTTGACAGTTGTATGCAACAAAATTTTATTTTAATTTATGCTGGTTTGTGTACTTTTAAAATGAAAATAAAGTTATTCTAAGT